GGTTATAAAAAATACAGAATACAAAAGAGTTACAAATATAAGACCGACTAACTGACTGATTGATAAACTGATTTGCAGAATAATAAATAATACACAGACGGATGTAACAGACAGATGCAGACAGATTGAGTAAGAACAGAAGTCTAAGGCCGCTCTCTTACTTCTTTTCACATATTCATATCAGAAATGAGCTACACCCCTTTGGAGAGGGAAGGAAATTATGAATCTTATTGAGCAATAGCAGAAGGATCCACCCTATAGTCCACCGATCGGTACAGCCTATGGTTTTGGTAGTGGAAACTATGCATAAAGGAACTTATATATAATATAAAAATATTATATTATTATAGAAATAAAAATATTATTTCTTTTTATGATATCGCATATGTTTACATAGGAATTCGAAACTTCTCAAAGGGCCCGACATTGCACAAAAAGTTTTCGTTGCACCAATATATCTCGATAATTCTTACGTTGTTTTATGATTTTAGGGCCCTCCTAAAATATTCTTCTTAATCTCTGAATGGAGTTTTCTTTCCAGAAAATATAATACAAAGAAAAGAATTAAATACTAGTTTTATCGTCTACATAATATATAATATTATATTATTTAAAGTAGCTCATTAGGTTTTTATCGATTTAGGTTACATCATTTTATCATTCACTACGATTTAAATCCATTAAAACCTGGATTTATGAAAATAAATTACCAAAATATCGTGAAATTTTTTTTAGGTTTATCCAGGTTATATTTTCAATATAGTTTAAATAAATTAGCATTCGATAGCAAAAACAACAACAACGAGGGAAGAAGAATCGAAGTCTGTGCTAGCAAAATGATGGTTTTCTTACAATAACGAAGTTACTATAACCTTCTCTGTCTATTTAAGTTTCCGACAGACAGATAGAAAGAAATAAGAAAGAAATAAATCAAAAGAGAGTATGAAGAGATGTTTGGTGGTGTTTGGCTGGAAATGGGTGGGGATGGAAGAAGTTACGTGACGTCGATGAAGTAGGTCAGGTGGCTGCCAGACGATGAGGAAAATTTTGCGAAATGTTTGAGAATCGATTGGTTCGTGATCGAAATGTTACCACCCCCACCACCATCCCCACCACAACCATTACCATCACCGAAAGTGAAGATGAATGTCATTCAATCCAAGACCGAGCAAAAATATGCGAATAAAAAAGGGAAGAATAAAAGAATGAAAGAAGGGGTGATCTGTGGGAAGATGAGGAGGAGAAGGAGGAGGAGGATGAGAAGGGAAAGGGAAGACATTGATATTCGTAAGGTATACTACCCCCACAAGGTGGACAAGTAAAAAGGGGGGGTTTAGAAGAGTAAGAAGGGGAGTAAGCAAAGGAATGCAAATGAGATTGGTCGTAGTACAAGGTATGACGAAGGATGAGTAAGAGAGGGTAAGGTTGAGGATAAGGGTAAAGAACGGGGTTGGTGGGTTAAGAAGTGAGGGGAGTTGGAGGGAGAAGAAATAGCGAGCTAAGTGAAAGTTTTATAGATGGAGTTCGATCTACATTTCCGTTGATAAAATCTTTTAGCCGATATGATGCCTCCTCCACTCCTTCTACCCTCCCCCTCCCCTACGTGAAACGTGACGGCTTTCCGTTTTATTTCAATCTAAGCTTTTAGTATCGGTGTTGTGTGTATCTCGATCGAAGGAAATAATATTTAATTTTTGTTAAAGTAACTTCAATAAATTTGAAATAAAAAGAGAAAGAAAGTAAGGTAATTTAAAAATAAATTCACTGTGATATGCTAAATAGGAAAATAAATTTCTTTGAATTTATTTCATTGGTTCGAGTTGAAAAAGTTTCATTCCTATTTTCAATGTTCATGAATCTTAAAAGATCGTATAAAATCTTGTAATGTCATTCGAATTTTTAGTCAATACTTTTGTAGCTCGTTTGAAAATTAATTTTTATTAGAGAATAATTAAAATAGTATAGTTTTTAGTTATTCGTTAATTCGGTTAAATGTTATTAATTCTTTAATATGAGAGATAGAATTTAATTTTAGAAGAAACTTTATATACTTTACAAATTTGATTAAAAAAAAAAAAGACATAATGTTGCAATGTTGATCGATACCACGAATGTCGATAATAATTATGGAAAAAATTTAGAACGATTAGTATACTTTAATCGGTGAGAAATAAAACTTTTTTTTATCATTCAGATTAAAACGAAACTGTTTAAAAAGATTTTCGAATGAAATTATATTAGAATTGAAAAAAGATTTGTTAACAATTATTTATAATGAAATTATATTTGATTATTTATGAATTACACTTCCCAGAAGAGATTTGATTATTTTTCTACATACAAGGGTGGATATAATGAAGCATTTCATTATTCCAAAATATAATAAAACTAAAATATTCTTTTCGCTAGGGAGAATATAATGTGAGTTAATTTTTGAAACATGTTTCGTAATTAATTGGTCATATACGTGTACGGTATAATTTGAACTTTCGTAATAGAGTACGTGTATACGTAATATCATATATACCTAACGAAATAATTGATTTTAATTTGATTAAATTAAATTGCTATTAAATGTAACAGTTACTTCATTGTTTATATTATTCTATAGTAACGGTATACGTATATATATTTATGAAATATTTTAATGAATTTTTTAATAACCAAATAAATTCGCAATGTCGATGACTTATATTACAATCATTTCTGATTAATAATTTCATCTCGTTAAATTTTAATATTGAAAACAAATTTCAAACGATATACGAATTTTGTTTAAATATAAATAATATATCGAACATTTAAATTATATTAGAAAAAAAATGTTCAAATAAAACGAATTATTGTTTCAAAAACTTGAGAACGATTACTCGTACGAATAAAAAATGCGAACAGATTGAAAATAATATATGATTATACTTCGTAAATATAATCGTTGTATAATTTTTTGTTGTTCTATCGTTGATTATACTTATATTCTTGTAATTAAAATCGGAAGGAAGGATGGAAGGAAGGAAGGAATGATAGTATTTGTGGAATAGAAAAAGGAACGGACGAGTAAAAATTGAAAAGGCGTGGGTTGGTTGCTTTGCGATAGTCATTAGTTGCTATTGCGGAAATGAAACGAGTGGGACAAGATAGAAAAAGATAGAAAATGATAGATAAAGATAGATAACGATGAAGAAAGATAGGAACACAAAAAAGAAAAAGATAAAGAAAAAGAAAAAGAGAACAGAGAAAAAAGGAAAGAGAGAGAGAGGGAGAGAAAGAAATATATATATATATATATATATAAAAGGTTCCTCTGTTTTTCAACGGAACGTGCTTTTCACCGAGGACAAATCAATTCGGTTCGGGAACAAAACGCAGTTGCATAAAGTGCTGAGACATCAGGCTGACTCGTGTGCCGTCTCCCTCGTTCGTGTCGTACGAACTGACAGGCCGGAAATGCGGAAAGACTTGCTTGCCTCCGAGTTATATTCCATTTTTGACGTTTTTCGGAACGTGCCGAGAGTCTCTCTGGCCTTCGCACAAATATTTTATTTTATTATATAAACCGATTTGCTGCCATTCCAAAAGTCACGAATTTCTTTCTTTTTTCCCCTTTGATTGTCGCTAAAGAAAAAAAAATATATATATAGACTAGGATGCTCCGCCCACGCGTTGTTGTCGCTTTATTATAAAACGTTGATTTAATATAATTTTAAACTATTTAATGCAGTCAAATTAATATTCAATAATAATTTCTAGGAATTCAAATTAGGAATAAAACAACATAAAATTTTTAATATATATAATATATATATATTATATAAATAACAACACACACACACACAAAATAATACTGCAATTAGAATGGAATACATAAAATAATAATACACGAAAAAATAGAAAAAGTAAGTTTATGTAAAGTTATATAAAATAATTGAATTGAATTGAAATACGGCGCCTTCTCTTGAATAATTAAATAATCTAGAGACATAGATAACCTTTAAATTATAAATCTTTAAATTAGCCATAAAAAATAAAAATAATTACAATAAAAACTGTCTTATATACTAAGTTGAAAAATATCACACAAAATAAAAAAAAATTTCATTAACAATAACATCGATTCAGTAGTTTCGAAATGCATTGGAAACCAACAATGTGACACTAAATTTATATATATATTATTATTTATATATATAATATATATATATATTAGTTCTTTTTTTCACAACCCCTATTCATTTTCAACAATACTTTAGCATTTAGTTCATAATTAATTAACAAAAGTTAACGTTTAAATCATTAATAGGTAAGAGAAACTCGTAAAGTAAATGTTAGAATGAGAGTGAGAGAGAGGATTAATCCTTAACCATGATTTCCAGACAGTTTAATATTCTCGATCTAATGCGATTATCTTTTAGTATCCATTTAATTACCTCCCACTAACCATAGTCTTCGCGACTAATCGTTCTTCATACCTACCGATCATTTTAGATCCCTTAATTAAATCTTTTATAAGGTCGATGGTAGTAGGTAAGGGTTACGTGCTTATCTTACACAAGAAGCACATTCAGCAATCTTGCCAGAAAACCAACACAAAGATAAGGTTTATATTCTTCCAGATTAGTATAATAGCGTAACAATGTTGATTCTAACGTTTATAATAAGATAGAAGCTTTTCAATAATCCTTCAAAATATTCTTCCTTGGGGAGTATATGAACTTAAAGTTCTAGGACGTTTTTTTAACACATTCGTCGCCATGTCACCATATACGGTGACCGATATGCTTCCTCGGGGGCTTCGTCACCGCATACGGTGACACTCTTCTTGTTGAAGTTATAGGATTTTTAGTTGGATTTTTAAAAGGAATATATAATGGAATTAACACTAACATGTAAATATRGAMTGTACAACATAAAAATACTAAAAATATACAAAKTATACTATACTTTTTATTACTAAAAATATACACATTAYACTATTCTTTTTATTWATTTATATARGATAACTATGTCGCATGTTTTTCGTGAARACACTCTAAACWCATTTGAGATGATTTTGGACAATTGGAACAATATGTTATGGTTCTTTTTAGATTTTTTCTCGCTTTTTGGCGCTCAGTAATTCGCCTCTTCTTTTTGTAACATAGGGTGCTCGCTCTTCTTATAGTGTTGCCCTGCTGATTCTTACGAATGTCTAAACAGTGGAAAACGTTCCTCAACATTTTATTTCTATTATTGTCAAGCACAGCATTTTCCGAGAATAACAATTCGGTAACGAGAAGTTCCCGAAATTTTCTAATTTTTATTTTTTTATTTGTGGTTCTCTGATACACGATGTGAGCATTTACTATACTTGTTCCTAAAATCAAATGTAGCGCTAATTTTCAATACCCTTTGATACCTTTGTGTATCGTTGTGGCATATGACACCAACTGATCACTTCTGTCAATGCCAATTTCCCTTTTATTATATGCCAGTATCGCCAGAGGTTTCTGTTTCGGAGGACGACCGCGGTGAGTAGAATCCGAGCTTGAACTCATGATAGGTACATGCTTTGTTGATAACATCCTAACATGGCGAACATCTCTCGATTTTAGCACCGCAATATCGTTGTCATCTTCTCGTGCTATCATTTCACCTTTCTTTAATGGGTACGACATTACAAAACGTGACATAAATTTTTGGTTGTGCCGTACAGTTCCAACGACATGCGTTTTGAATTGTAAAAATTTGACTACTAACTCGTAACTAGTGTAAAAGTTGTCGACAAACACAGTTCGTCCCTCATTTAGTAGTTTATCTGCAAGTTCAATGCAGACGTTTTCGGCGATACCAACTTGCCTTCTTCCGCTAGTATCTCGTCCAGAATATACCTTCATAGACCATGTATATCCTTCAATGGAGCGCAGTTTGAAAATTTTTATTCCATACTTGAGCGATTTCGTTAGTAAATATTGTTTGAATATTACTCATTTCCTCCAAGGAACCAATGTCTCGTCGACTACAATATCTTCGCCTGGTGAAAAGACTTTTTGATAATTGTGTGTCAATATGTTTATGAGTGGTAAAACTTTTCCAAGCCTGTTATTCTCTTCTATCGTTTTGTTATTTGCAATATGTAAGTTTAATAACAGTAATTCAAAACGATTATGAGACATCTTGCTGCGCGGAAATGTAAAGTTGTACATAGGGTCCGTTGACCAACAGCTAGCATGCGGTGTTTGTACCAAACCTATTCAAATCATCAGTCCGATAAATATTGTAATTTCTTTAGAAGTGGTGGGTTTCTATCTGTTCTGTCGAGCATGATCAGTTGTTTCATGTCGATGCAATTTTTGCTCTGCATATCTATTAGTCTCTGTGACTAAAAGGCTTATCACTTTTTCGTCTAAGAATAGCGAAAACACTTCACTTGCGCTAATATCAGACGGCAAATCCATCAGAAACCCACCTTTTCCGGTGAACGGAAATGACTGTTGCCTTTTAGCGAATTCGTTCCACTGTATACTATCCGATGAATTATCAACAAAGTCCAGTTCCTCTTCTTCGTTTATAGCAAGTTCTTCTAATATGACGTTAAGGTCCTCACTAGCATATGATTCTTCAGTATCGGAATTTGAACTTGATGATATTCCATTTACAACTTTTCTTTCGAAACTCACTACTTCGTCATCACAACTCTTCTCACTTTCAATTATACTTCTACGCTTTCTAATGAACATTTTGTAGAGTTAAGACAAAGAAATAGAATGAAAATATGATAATATATATTTATAATGATGTCGAACGTATTTAGAAAAGTATTTAGAAAAGTTTATTAAAAGTAGCGTGGTTACAAAATATACAGAATACAAAAGAGTTACAAATATAAGACCGACTAACTGACTAATTGATAAACTAACTGAGTTGCAGAATGATTGATAATACAGATAATACACAGACGGATGTAACAGACAGATACAGACAGACTGAGTAATGACAGAAGACTAACGCCGCTCTCTTACTTCTTTTCACATATTCATATCAGAAATGAGCTACACCTCTTTGGAGAGGGAAGGAAATTATGAATCTTATAGAGCAATAGCAGAAGGATCCACCCCATAGTCCACCGATTTGTACAGCCTATGGTTTTGGTAGTGGAAACTATGCATAAAGGAACTTATAAAAATAAAAATATTATATTATTATAGAAATAAAAATATTATTTCTTTTTATGATATCGCATATGTTTACATAGGAATCCGAAACTCCTCAAAGGGCCCGACACTGCGCAAAGGTTTTCGTTCCAACAATATATCTCGACAATTCTTACGTTGTTTTATGATTTTATGGCCAACCTATAATGTTCATTTTAATCTCTGAATGGAGTTTTTTTTCCAGAAAATAAAATGTAAAGAAAAGAACTAAATACTAGTTTTATCGTCTACAATTTTGAGGATAAACAAGTAACTGGTCTATCTCAAGAATAGTATGCTTCTCGACTAAATAAAAAATCTGGAATAACTGCTGTGAAATCCCAGGTAGTCCTCTAGACAAAAAATTTATCACATTCCCCATTTCGAAACAAAATTATTTGCGATAAATAGAAGATAGTTTTATATTTTATCATTTTCGGTAAATAAAAGATAATAATATAATATAACCATAGTACTCGGGCCGCATTGTTGATATTCATATTTATTGCTTCTTTACGTTACGGCGCGCCGACAGTCGGATTTGAGTCTGGCGAGAAACTCAACCGAATCGGACTGGACGATGAAAGTGCTAATCGTTAATGCAAGTGACAGATATTTTAATTCATTATTATAGAGAGATACCATAAACAAATCCTGAATTGCATGTTATTTAAATTTTATTGTATTTTATTAAATCTTATTATTATATTATTATTTATCAGTATCCATAGAAGGATTCTGTATAAACTAAAGACTCATGTATATATATATATATATAGAAAAATTCAGTGTTCAAAATTATTGAACCGATCTTAATGAAATTTTTGTTTATTTTGTGGTTTTTTTTCAACTTAGAATATAGGATAGTTTTTATCGTGATTATTTTATATTTTTTATTGCAAATTTAAAGATTTATTATTTAAAGGTTATCTAGATCTTTAGGTACTGTAAGTTTAAATAGACGGCGCTGTATTACAATACAATTATTTTAATTTACCCATGACATAACCTTACTTTTTCTATTTTTTCGTGTATTATTATTTTATGTATTCCATTCTAATTGTGGTATTATTTTGTGTGTTGTTCTAATTAACTAAATAGTTTAGAATTATGTTAAATCAACATTTTATAACAACACCATAGCAACACATGGCCGGAGAATCCCTTTATTAATTAAATCCATTTCTTTTTTTTATCGTAAAATATTTGTTATGACAATTAATATTCTTGGTATTGCATGTCACTACAGTTAACACAACAAAACAAATGAATGTAAACAATTTTTTTCCCAAATAAAGGTTTAATATTATTAATTGCATGAACAATTATTTCAATAATTAATTAAATTGAAATAGAAATAAAGATAAGAGAAACAAGTGATGACGAGGAGGAGGAGGAGGAGGAGGGAAAGGATTTCGTCTGGCACGTTAAGGGAGTATTTATGCAAAGCTTTTATGACTAGTCAGAAGCAACAAATTTCTGACGTCGTGTACGGTGAGGGGGAAGAGGGAGTTACCAGGGGTAAACTCAACGGAAGTTGTTCTTGAAGGAGAGAGAAAGAGAGAGGGAGAGAGAGAAAGAGAAGCTTTTCCTGAATGCACTATGCTCCAGGCGAAAGTTGTTACTCTCGTTTCTCTTAACTTTGTGGACTTTCACCACCATTGGTGGTCGTCTTGAGAGAGTGAGAGGGTGCTGCTTCAATGGAATACGAAGGATCAACAACAAACCTAGTCTTTTACATTTCGAAAGGACTCGAAGAATGATTTTCATTTACAATGCTCGTTAAAACGAAACCAACGTATTACTATCTTGCTTCTGACGTAACACAAGCAACCTCTCTTTTGCTCGTTTATATGTTCTTGTCTTTTTTTTTTCTTCTTCTCCTTCTTCTTCTTCTTCTTCTTCTTCTTCCTTGTTTTCCATTATAAAGAAAACGCAGCAATTAATTCGATGTATTTTAAATAGATTTTTTTTTACAACATAATCATTTGTTAATTCTACGATCAATTTTGAAATGAAATTTTCTTTTCGATATTCAACAAATTTAACATTTACCAATTTTGTATATTTATTTGACTATTATTTATGTAATATTAAAATGATCGACAGATTTGGTTTGATATTTTATTTGTTTTCGTATTAAAAATGTCTCTGCTTGGTTAATTGTCAAAAAGAAATGTTTATGCGAATTTACGATTAAAAAAAGACCGTATCGGAAATTTGTTGCAAGAAATTCATTCACTCGTTTCATCGATTTCTTATTCAGTGAAAATGTTTGAAATAAAATGGACTTCTTTCGGGAATGAAGATAAATGTTTAGCGATACGCGTGCGGAACTGTTGTAAGCTTCTGAAGATTAGTGTGTGCATGTGTCTACGAGGAAAATGTCGTGTAACGTGGGTGCGATACATAAATCTCTCCTTGACCCGCGCTTATGCGAATATATACAGAGAGAAAACGGGTGAAGCTTTTTCGGTGGGAACTTCCTTCAACTTTCCCCTTATGGAATACGTATATATATATATAAGAATTTTTGAACGATTCGCTTGTTCGTAGTGAATTTTGATGAAACTGAAACACGACCCCTTGACAAAAATACGGACCGAAATAATATTGTAGAAATGTGTTGACATTTTACGTTGAAATATCTATGTGAATATTGTATAAAGAAATTTCAAATTTAATATTAATAAATAAATAAATAAAAATATTTATTTGAAAGGAATAAAAAAAAAAAAATAAGAAGATGAGAAACGAGTTTTGAAGAAAAGAAAATGACTGCAAAAATATATCATTGTAAAAAAATATAAGCCTGTTTTTATGATAAAATAAAAAATACACGAGATATAATTGGTATATAATTGTTCGACAAACGGAATGACAAATCCTTGGTATGAATTTTAATTATTCTTAATTAATATTCCTGACGAGAAATCTAACATAAGATTTCAAACAACAGCAAGAATAAGAATAAAAATAAGAATAAGAATAATAATAAGAAGAAGATCAAAGATATACCGTTATAGAACAATTAAGAAACTTGACCTAAAGTAGAGAGAATCACAACGGTTGGGTATCTAAAAGATTAATCTTTAGTAATGAAGTCGAATTTGAAATAGGGGAAACGTTTAAAGTACGATATTCGACGTTGGGGGGTATCATAAGTTCTGACAGTATTCGCGAGTTAAAGCTATCATAGTTTGAGCGAACAAGTTCGTCCCTATCGTTTTGATAGAGAACTAAGAAAGATAACAAGTGAAAGATAAAGATAAAGTGAGATGTTCAGTGTAGTATGTAGTTGGTTGGCAAAGGTAGGAAGAGAAGATCTGTATCTCTTGGAATTGTATATAGGCGGTATAGAGACAGCACTCTTAGTTATTAGAAACAGAACAATGATCATAGTTGTATGCCAGGGAACGGCCATAATGGTCCAGATGCAAGAGGTGTAACACTGAAGACACAGAAGGGTTCAACCAAGCAATCTTCCTTCATCATTCTCAAGTTCAACTAGAAACAGACGTATCTAAATGCTTCTACTTCTATTTCTACTATCTAACATATGACTGATTCGCATGATTTTAGATAACTATAGTCTCAGGGATGATAGAATATACTTTGGGTATCTCTAAAATGGGAATTAGTTTGTAATCATTTATTATGTTACAGTTTATTAATGATTCGATTATGTTTTTTTGTCTACCATC